CATATAATTTGAATTAATTATTTTTTTATATTATTACTAAGTAAAATAACATCGAGATTGTAAATTGATTGCTAGCATGTTTTTCTTTGTTCTAGTGCGTATCATTTTGCATGTCGTCAACTCGCGCATATGCAAATTTTGTTCATTTCGCTCGTGCAAAGACCCAAGCAATATTATAGTCCTTTCTAGTTATTTTTGACATTCCGGGCATAACGGTGAAGTCTGTTTCACGAATGATCAACCTTAAGGAAATGTTGCATATTATTCGGGTCCTTAGTGATGTGAAACATATATAGAAACATGAATTTCTTAAGAATTAATAATAAGTTAAGCTTTGATAATTTTAAACTCAATATTTCACCAAGATAAGAGTCTAGGACTTCTTAGTTGCAGTTGTGCTTTTACATGCGGTTACACAAAGATTAACAGGACAATTTTAAAATAAAAATAAAAATCGAAGTAACACTAAGATGCAAAAATAACAAAATCCACCTTTTAACAAATAGAAAGTTCACCTCGAGTTCCCCTCACTTTCACTCTTGATAGTGGGGTCAGCGGGAAAATAATTTCAGCGAACCTAGAGATGCCGCCAAAAGAAAGAGAATGCCTACAGTCTTACTCAACGAAAGGTTAGCCAGAGGGGAAGAAGTTGTTAGATGTCCGATAATTCACCATGTCCGGAGATTTGGTGTTTCTCTATGACAGACATCAAGGTGAAAAAGATTCGGTCGACGTAGTCGTCGTCAGTGTCGTCGATCTTGAAGTCGAGGTTGAAGAAGGGAGATCAGATTATATCTACTCTTCATTGAAGATCATATATGAATCCATGATCGTGCTCAGGATCGGCCATTCATGGGGGAAGTAGGCTAAGGGTTGATGTATCTTCTTCCTTGGGATGTAGGTGAAGCAAGGGAGAAGAGAGGAGATGGGGGGAAGAGGAGCTTGGGGTGTTCGGTCAAAACTTAGGGAGGCTCTATCACACCCCAGTTTTGCCTACCCCTTAATGGTCAATCTGGAGTATAACAAAGAAGGAAAATCTAAACAAGTTCCTTCTTACTAACACCCATTCCGAGCCACTACTTTCAGAATAGAGTGAGTAAAAGAAATCTATTTAGACTCTCCTAACATGCCAACCTATCAAAATTCATAATTAATAATAGGAAGCATGTAATGTCCTTTAATGAACATCAAATATAATTAAAGTAAATATAGAGCTATACTAAAATTTTTAAAATTTACTTACATACCTAAAAGTCTATACAACTATCATTCTGATCTCTTTTAAGATATCTTTGTACACCAAAATATATTTACACAAATAGGAACGATCACCTCTCTCCTGCCTATTGCCCTATAGGCTCCTTTCTCTTACCTGCTGTGGTATAACCACTACTGATGAGCTAAGCTCAATAAAATACACAATCAATGTATAAAAATTAATAATAACATTGCTAACAATTAAGAAATGCTTAACAATACTAACATAGTTAAAAACACATTGAAATGTCCTATTGAGTATAAGAAGTGCCTAGCCATATTATTTATCTTGCCAAAATTGTTGAACACCTTTTAACTAAGTTATATGATGGCTATAAACTTTTGCACATTTTCAACGTTCCAATTTAAGGTTGCGTTCAACTTCCCAACATTTAGAATGGAAGTTGTTCTCTCATTCAGTCAAATTTTCCAACTTCTAGAATTGAGAGTATAGGCTTATCTCATCAGGTCTTTTGCCTTTACTTGGGCAGGCTCCTCCAAGTTCAGCTTTAGGGTTAGAGAAAGGAGAGGAAGTAATTTTGAAAGATGAAAATTTAGTTCAGATTTTCAAGGGTGGAAAGAAGGGAAGTATTTGAAATTCAAATTTCCCTTAATGGGGAATTAATTAGGTGAGATTGGAGAGAGGGGCTTGCGGCTTAAGAGAGGGTTTAATGGGTTTAATTAGTAGAGTGGGGAATTAATTTGAGAGAGAAAAGGAAAGGGAGGAGGCTGGCCAAAGGAAGGGGAAAAAATGTGTCCACATTCAATGTATGTGGACCCTGACATAAATTGTTGATTGGAGACTCAAATCTAAATTAATTTCAGAGTTTAGGTGATTAAGGGATCTCCAAAAATAGGTGTAGGCTATTTAGTAAGGAATTTAAAATTCAAATTCATTTGAATTTGAATTAGAAAACTTTCCAAATAAGAGTCAGGCTAAATTAGGAAAGTAGTAATGGTGTAATTGAAGGGGAATCAAGAGGGTATGGATGGGTAGGCCGGCGGCTAGAGGTGAAGTTGGGCAGGCCAGCGGCTAGGGGAGAAAAGGTGGGTTTTTTATTCTGTGGGAGAGGGCTTGGTGGTGGCGCTTGGGCCGTGGGTTGGGTGGGAGAAGGGAGGCCGGCGATGGAGGAAGGGAGAGCTCACCTCGGATGGTTATGGCGAGTCAAATTGAGGGTCCCATGAGTAGAAGTCTTCATCTAGTTGAGTTTAGTGAGAATGGTTGCCTTGGGAGAGAGCAAGTGATCGAGATTTGTTCTGTTCACATAGCGATTACTGAACTAATAGCTCTGGAGAGGAATCCTTTATTCGCCCCATGCAAGGCAAGCTATTTGGAAGGTTAGGCAAGTGATGCCTTTTGTTCATTTTGGGTGAGTTCTCCTGTGAGTTCTAGGCGAGTTCCTCAAGTAGGCCCCCTTTGAGGGCAAGTTCCTATGACATGCCATCTTCCAGCTAAAACCTATGAAGGCATACATGAGTATAAAACAACAATAAGTAGAATATGACTTAATTCTATTCCTACGAAGAAACTGTTCTCCATCCATCAGGTTGAATCGAGCTTTTTTGAAACAATTTTGGTCCCAAGCATACATATATAAACCCAAAAATTTGGAAGCTAAAGAGTTGCCTTCAATTCAAATATATCTCCAAAACGTAAAGAACTATTAGAATTAAGCCATTTATTTGATGTTATGAAAGAAAGCTTTAGCGCTTTTTTATTTTCTTGCGGACATTTAGATAGCCAAAAATCAGTGATCGTACCCAGCAAGTGAAGAATTATAACTATTAATAGGCAGCCAAATCTGATCGCTCAAAAGATTAAAAAATCTAAGGTCTATGATTCCCTAGCCTCCAAATTTCTGTGGTCTACAACAAATTTTTAATTTGATAGAAAAAGTCTATTACCAACTAGCCTGCCCTGGAGAAAAAAATTACTTTTCCAACTAACGAATTACTTTTGAACTTCATCAATATTAGATAACCAAAATCTTCTTTGAAGAGATTTATAGTTAAAGGCATACCAAGATGTTTGATTGGAAAATTTTCATGCACAATTCATTTTGTGTGCAAGATCTTTCCCTTTGCTCCTTACAGAGCTAGGATGAATAAAAAAGATTTAGAATAATTTATCATAGACCAAGGATGCATTATAAATCATTTTATGCAGAACATGCTCGAGAAAAGAAAAAAGCAAAGGAGATAAGAGTTTAGTAGGTTCTTTTTTTCTTTTATGCATATATACTCGGTATTGTATATTTATTTTTTGGGGAAAGGATCAAAATGGCCTTTGACTCTTTATGAATGATTAAAATAATCCCCAATTGTATTAAAGGGCCATTTTAGTCTCTTAAGTCTTTAAAAAAGAATCAAAATAGTCCCACCCACTATTTTAGCTCATTTTTAAGAAGCTGAGGGACCAAATTTGCCCTTTAATATAGTTGTGAACTATTTTGATCTTTCGTAAAGAGTTAAGGGATCATTTTAGACATTTTATCTTTATTTTTCACAATAAAAAGTGAGATGCTCTCCATTCTTAAGCCCATTTCAACTAATATTTTGGTAATTTATTGAGACATGTAGAACAAATTAATAGAAGAGCATTATTAATAAAAATATCCCTTCTTCCCCTAAAAAGAAAAAAATCCTTCTTCCCTTGTAGAGAAAACTATTTTACATATAGTCAAATCTCTTTTGAAGTTAATAAGTAACAGGTAATTCATTTCCTTGAAGAGATTTGAAGGTGCATCAAGATATTTGATTGGAATTTTTTATATGCGTGCTTCTTTTTTTATTCAAGTGCTTCCCCTTTTTCACATACGAAGCCAAGATAAATCAAAGAAGCATGAAATATCTTCAAACATACAGAGAATGGCTTTAAGATAAACTATTTGTTTAAAATCAACTCTGCAAATGATCGTAGTATCATAAACAAATTGGATACTTGAGAAATATTTATTTTTATCTTTGACCAAAAAAATTTTATCCAACCTGCCAGGGAAGCGTTATAAATCATTTTCCGGAAAATATTCTCAAGAAGAGCAAAAAAAGAAAGGAGATAAGTATATTAAATTTTTACCTTTGCAAATATACAACTTGTTGGTATTGTATATTTAATTTTTACCTTAATTAAGGCTTCGTTTGGGACGGCTTTTTTATTGCTTCTGAAAACGGAGTTTTAGTACAAAAATTAAAAAATTTGTACTACAACTCCGTTTTAAAAAGCAATTAAAAAGCCGTCCCAAATGAAGACTAAGTGTGATTTTCTCCAGTCTCAAGCCAATTTCAACTAATTTTGATTTCATCAGTAAATTATATAAAAATTTACTTCCATTTCAAGATGGTAGTAAGTTTTGTGTGGTAATTAATGAATTATTAAGTAATTGTCGATGTCCTTCCCTAAGAAACTGAGCATAACCTGTTCGCACACGCTTTTGATTTGTCATCTTCGTGATTAGAAGTACATTTTTATGATGAGCCTACAAATTAATATCAACTCAGCCATTTTCATTCGGGCTTGATTTTAAGTCGAATGATTTATAAAGTTCAATTTTGTTGGATAATGAAAAAAGAGCAAGAAAGATGCAGTTGCTCCATCTGAGCTTTCTTTTGGGCAATAGTTTGTGGTCTTGCATTTTTGTAATGGGTGATGATGTCAGACTTTTAGGGTACTTCGAGGAGCTGTAAACTTGCAGCTAGATGGAATTATGTTACTGATGTTAGTGTGAACATGCATGATGTTGTAGGTTGATGTTGTTCGAAGGAAGATGATTAGAAGATATTCAAGGAGGGTTTCTCTCACTTTCCGGAAGGTAAATAAAATTTTGTATCATTCACTAACTTTTTAATATTCAGCCATCCAAAATTCGGTGGTTCTGAACTTTCGAAGTTGTATAAACTTTTTTATGCCTAATCAGGTTTAGTTTATCTTATGATAAATAAGAAGTAATTTTGCTTGAGTTGAAATGAAGTTGTTCATCAAATGCTGGTATAATTTTCTCTGGCATGTACTGGAATGCAGTATTAATTTCTCATGTCATAAAAGAGACCAAGAGGAATGACTAGCAAATTATTTTGGTTGTGCGAACTTTTATTCTGCCTATATTTGGTGCTGCCTTATTTTTGCAGTTCTCCTGGGAAAAAAATCTTAATCAGAATTTAGTTTGGATGGATTTTAAATTTCAATCAGGTCCCAAAGATTTTCTGTTGTACTGACCACTTAAAATAATTTTTGTCATGGCAGGTTAGGACGGGACCTTGCCAATGCAAATTCTCTCAGTACTGCGATTCTCAGAAGATGCTCAAAGTTGTCTGAGGATACTTGCTTCAAAAACTATAAGAGATATATAGGCAATTTGCTGATATTCATCTTATAGTTCGTTGGAGTCAGTTCAGATGTGTCAACACATAATGCTAGTTCAGGAATGACCCAAAAGTAGATTTATGGTGCAGCCATCTATTTTGCTTGAAAATGAGAAGAAATGTAAATTGACTATACTGTAGCACTTAATTTTTTTTTTTTTTTAACTTTATTACATGCTGCCCATTTTGGTTTGGCAAGGTAGACCATCGAATGCAAGACGTGAACATCAAGCTCATGTCAGCTTGCCTGCGGCAAGTCAAGGAAAAAGAGCTTCAGAGAATTAGTATTTATAGAGTACATCTTCGTACAGATTTTTTAATTTTCATTTTATATATGCCAAACGTTATATCATTAGTTCTTGTGCATTGTGTTTGAATGTTTTATTTTCAGTTTTTTGACTTGACCAGAGGCCTTTCATGGTTCAATAATTATTTAGAAATTAAGCAAACTGTTTGATTGGAATCTGTTGCTTTGGTCACCTTGAAGCGAATTGCTAACGAATTTTCTTTCATCCAAAATGAACTCATAACCAGAAGCTTTCCAACAACTTTTGTTTGAATGTTCGTTGATTTAGATACACGTCGTTGACCTCTAAATCTTTGTTACCTGTTCATATTTTTCTGCATCATTCTTGAGCTCCTCTTTATGCTGATCTTCAATTCCAACGTCTTAAAACTCGGCGGTATCTTTGAAGGCTTTTCTAATTGTTCAATCAGTAAGGCTTTTGTTTGTTTGAGCGTTTTTTTGCCTTCTCCGTTTTCGGAAACGGAGGATTTTTTTTTTGTGTTGTTTGGTTCGTAAAATCACGTTCCCAATAACTCCTTTTTTTCATTTTTCGGCAGTTTTGAGAAAGCTTTTTATATGTGCTTTTCCGTTAGAAAATTCCATTTTCTGAACTAATATTTTTTAAAATTGTCTTATACAAAAGGGCAAAAAAAACAAACGAAGCCTAAGTGTTGGGATTAACGTATGTCTGTATTGCCAGTTTGTTACTTGTCAGCATGGTGTGATTACCTGTGAGCAATTTTCTTTAGGTTATTATGTGGCTAGCAACTTATTTTGCAATCAACATCTTGGTTGCCAGTGGTAGAATTAGGCAGCTGGTGGGGTTGGCTCTCAACCCTCAGATTTGATATAAACTCTCTTCTAATTATATAGAGTATACAACTTCTACTTATAGCCATAGATATTACGGAAGTTTTGCTACCTCTAAATTTGGGGTTACTTGTTTGAGATCATCTTTAAAACCTCATTCAATCCCTATTTGTGGCTATTTTTTAGACCGTTCGAATTGATGCTTAAATATCAATTTTCACATATCTGCAATTTTATAAGAGGTGAAAGATAACTTCTTGAACATTTAATGAGGTAAGAAGTTAAATGAATATCTTTGTCGTACTAGGTAAGAATTTACCCCAGTATTTGGTAGATTAATATATTATACTCGACTAATTTGTCTTATAACATATTATACTACACTATACAATAAATTATTATTTTATATTACATATTAAATTATTATTTCAAATACATCATATATGATAAATTATATAAGATCTCCCTCCTATTATAATAAGTTTCTTCAGCTATTACCACTAAAAATATATATTAGAATATCCTGACTAATTGATTAGAATGAAATTTTTTTGCCTAAAAAATTAATTTGCAATGATATTAATAAATTAATTATACATCATACTAATCTTAAAATAAATTTTAATTTACCCCAATTCATAACCATAACACCTAGCCTTTCATTTTCGTCCTTCCCCATTTTAGAAAAAAAAAATTGTTCAAGATATTTTAAATACAATGTTAATTGTAAAGAGTTCTAATATGATTTATTTTAAAATTAATGAGTATAAAATAAATTTTAATTGATTACTTTTATACCAATTTTTATTTCAAATCAAATCATAACTTTTAAAATCTATTATAATCAGAATTTATGCAAAATTTAACAAATATCTATCCAAATTTGTTTCCTCCCTAACCACCTGCAACCAATTTCCCTCCGGACCATTAAAAAGTTTCAAAAATAAAAATATAAAAAAGGAAATGTCTATATTAAACTAATTCCTTATTCTCTCTCCTCTTTTATTTTCATGTTTTGCCTTCTTTCTCTCTCCACCATAGCGTGGAGAAAAATTCGTCGAACCTCTTCCTCCTCTCTCCCCCTTCCTCGATGTACAGAAAGATCCCTCAATTATTCCATAATCAAAATTTTTCTTTCCCTGTTTCCCATGACAACAACAATCACAACCCAAATATTCCTTCATTTTATTCTCTACCTCTCCCTTCACAATCTCATCTTTGCCAAAACAGCCAACAATGGAATCTATAACCCCTCTGCCTCCATCCTTGTCAACTGTGGCTCATCTACTAACGAACACGATGCCGATGGTCGGAAATGGGTCGGTGACACTTCCCCCAAAGCTTCTGCCTCCGGAATCATCTCTACCAAATCAACCCCTTCAACCGCCTCTTTCCAAGATCCATCTCTCCCCTCATCTGTTCCTTACATGACAGCAGCAATTTTTGAATCTGAAGCAACTTATAAATTCCCTGCAAGCAAAAAAGAGCGTCTTTTAATCCGGCTTCATTTCTATCCTGCATCCTACAATGGCCTAAACCCAGAAAACGGATTCTTTAATGTGGTCGCCACCCTTTCCGCCGACGGTGTAGGCGGCATCACCCTCCTTCACAACTTTAGTGCTTATATAACGGCCCAAGCGTTAAGCCAATGTTACATAGTACGAGAATTCTTCCTCCCAATGATCAACGACGATTTCCTCACGCTGACCTTTATTCCAGCCATCGTTCAACCCAAAGCCTTCGCCTTTATCAACGGCATTGAGGTGATCTCAATGCCAGACATCTTTACCACCACGGCCGTCATGGTTGGCTTCAGCGATAGCTCCGTCACCGTTGGAGCATCCGCCGTACAGACAATGTACAGACTGAATGTCGGCGGACAGTACATTGCTCCGACTAACAACACAAGCTTTAGTCGCACGTGGTATGACGACACACCATATATTTCCGGAGCAGGAGTTGGAGCCATAGCAGCCGCCGGGCCACACATCAAAATTCAATACCCGATGAACTTACCAACATATATAGCTCCGCCGGACGTATACAGGACAGCAAGGCAGATGGGGCCAGATCCGAAAGTGAATATACAATATAACCTCTCATGGTCCTTTCAAATTGACGGCAACTTCACCTATATTGTGAGACTCCATTTTTGTGAGATCCAGCTTACTGAAGTGAACCAGAGAGTTTTTGATATATTTATTAATAATCAGACGGCTCAAAAGGACGTCGATATCATCGCAATGACTTCATCTATGGCGATTCCTGTCTATAGAGATTACGCTATTTATATTAGCAATGAAGAACAACTGTTGGTAGCGCTCCACCCTTCGACTGATTTAAAACCCGAGTTTTTCGATGCAATTTTAAATGGTATAGAGATATTCAAACTCAGTGACGCCGACGGGAACCTTGCAGGGCCAAATCCAAAGCCTTCAGCGATGCTTGAGAATGAGCTACAAATAACCACAAACGCGCCGAAATTTCAACCGGAATATTCAAGCGAGAAGTCACATGTGATAGTTGGCACCGCAAGCAGCGCGGCTGCTGCAGGACTTATCTTCGCACTCTGTTTTGTGGTTTATCAAAGAAAGAGAAGAGCTAATGATAATGAATCAGAGGTCAGCGCCTCCGGCTGGCTCCCGCTTCACAGAAATTCCCATACTACTGTAAGCAAATCCAACATGTCCTCAAAAACCTGCACAAGCAGCCACCTTTCGACCATGGCGGCAGGTCTCTGCCGCGATTTCTCTATTTTCGAAATAAAACAGGCAACAAAGAATTTTGATGAGTCCCTTATCATTGGTGTCGGCGGATTCGGCAAATTCTACAGAGGAATAATTGACAGAGGAGCAACGAAAGTAGCTATCAAGAGAGCAAATCCTGATTCAGAACAAGGCTTGCATGAATTTCAAACAGAAATCGAAATGCTCTCCAAACTTCGACACAAGCACTTAGTCTCACTCATCGGATACTGCAAAGAAGCTAATGAGATGTGTCTAATTTACGACTATATGACTAACGGAACACTAAGAGAACATCTTTATAAAACAAACAAGCCTGCTCTGTCATGGAAACAGAGACTCGAGATCTGTATAGGAGCAGCGAGAGGGCTTCATTACCTTCACACAGGAGCTAAAGACACAATCATTCATAGAGATGTAAAGACTACTAATATACTTCTGGATGAGAATTTTGTGGCCAAAGTTTCTGACTTTGGGCTATCGAAGACAGCACCATTGATGAATCAGTCTCATGTAAGCACAGTGGTGAAAGGGAGCTTTGGATATCTTGATCCTGAATACTTTAGGCGACAACAATTAACTATTAAATCAGACGTATACTCCTTCGGTGTCGTGCTATTTGAAGTAATGTGTGCTCGGCCGGCGCTCAATCCTAGTCTTTCCAAGGAGCAAGTTAGTCTTGCAGATTGGGCAATTCATAACAAGACAAAAGGTAAGATAATTGAGATTATAGATCCTTGCCTAAAAGGAAAGATTAATTTAGAATGCTTGAGCAAATTCGTGGAGATAGCTGAGAAGTGCGTTTCTGAGCATGGAAATGATAGGCCAGTCATGGGAGATGTGCTTTGGAATCTTGAGTTTGCTTTGCAGTTGCAGGAGAGAGATGAAGATGGAGGAGTGAGTGCTCATGGGAGTGGGAGCAACGTTGATGTTTTAAACTTATCAAGTGAAGGAGATGGGGTCGTTAATGAAATGAAAGAAGATTTGGATGAATTATCTGTCTTCTCGCAGTTTCTCAATCCAAAGGGAAGGTAAAAATTAAGAATGAAGATGATATATAGACATCATGTAGTCATATGATCGTTTTGTCTTGAGGATAATATTTTTCTTAGGTTTGAATGTTTTAACCATTGAAGTCGGTTTGTTTGTTCTCGGTGCCTTACTTCATGTGTATGTATGCATAAAGATGAGTTGGTCTGTTGTACTTAAATTATTATGTTTAATTTTAATTAATGTTGAAATAAATTAGAAAAAAAAAACATTAATATTTTATTATAAGTTTTTTTTTTTTTTTTGGGACATTTAGGCTATTTAAGGCAAACTCACACACACAACGCATACATAAAGACTCGAACCTAAGACCTCTTAGTTGAAAGCATAAGCTCTCAACCAACAGGCTAAGGTGAGTTGTGTATTTTATTATAAGTTCACACCAACATTTGAACATATTTTAAATTTAATACTCATTTAGATAAATAGATTATATCAGCACATTTGCTCGACGATCAAATGTGATCATGCAAAATATAAATGCTTTTTCCAAGTCATCCGAGCGACTTCTCTGATTTCTTTAGTACGTTACTATAGCTGGTCCTCATTTTTTTTTTAAATTAAACAAATTAACTTACTGAGGAAATAATGTTATAATAAAAATGATAATAAGTGATATCATAAAAAAAAAATATTTTTATCAGACAATTCTCAATGCATATTTAAATTGAAAATCTTTATAATCAAATTCAGAATTATTCTAACTTAGATTTTCACAAACTTTTTATTCATATTGAAGATCTTGATACGATGAACCCATTTACATTAAAGATTGATTTGATCTGAATTTAAATGAATATAAATCAAACAGTTGAGATTAATTAAAAACTTTGGGATATTAATTAAGGGATTAAAAATCTCTAAATTTTACATGCTCATAATTAAATCGAGCATCTTGAAAAGAAAAATCAACCAACACCAAATTTTCTAAATTACGGCATCATCAATGTATTTAAATATTACAATAATGATATATGATGAAGGGAATTACCTAGGCTTTTCGATATAGTGTTATGGATTTTGATTATTTTTATAGAGCAGGTCACTCTCAAAAACTATAAATAGATCCACATTCTCTATATAAATGAAACCATGGCTTATAATTCAGAAGTATTATGGATTTTGATTATTTTTATGGAGCATGTCACTCTCAAAAAATATAAATAGATCCACGTTCTCTATATAAATGAGACCATGGCTTATGATTCAGAAGCATGAATGCTTAAAGAATTCTAGAACTTTATTGGACCAGGGCCTTTTGATTGACATTATCAAACAATTGCTAACAAACCACCGCTAATGATATGTTAAAACTTCTAGTTCATATCTACAATATTTTATAAAAACCTTCCAATTTATAGAGGAGGGCATCATTTGTAATTGATGACATAGAATAGTACAAATCATTTTAAGTGGGCCAACTCTTTTTATTTTATTTTATTTTAGTTTTTTATGTCCCTTGCAACTCCTCTCTTATATGTGTGTGCTAGATATTCTTACAAAATTAAGATATTAAATACATTCTCTTTATCACTATGAATATTCTTGCATGTAACAACAACAACAACAATAATAATAACAATAGCAGCAACAAAAACAAAAACAACAACAAAAGCATAATAATAATAATAATAATAAGTTGAACCACATAGGGTTAGTGAATCCACTTGTATGCTTTCAAAATATGTCAATCTTATACTTTCAAGTGATTTTAATAAATTTATATTTTATTATCCTACTTTGATTTGATGAAATGTCATCTAAAATTTAAAAATTGTCTAAAACTTGGAAAATGCACATTAGCAAATATTATGATTATTTCAATTTTTTTATTGCAAAGATATATAAAATTAGATAACTATCAATCATTTAACTTAAAAATTATTATTAACAATAATTTAATTTAAGTTAGTGAAAATTTTCTTTCTTTAACTTGTTTTTCTTTTTGTTCACTTGATCATGTTCTTTTAGTTATTATAAGAAGATGAGTGTTGTAAATAATGAAAACTTTCAAGCTACTTGAAAGAATAATGACATAATATTTTCACTATTATTGTTCAGATAGAGAAGGCAAGAAAAACTATAGTTTGAGTTACTTTACAAATAGGCTAAAGTAATAATTTAAGTGAATTGATCTACTTTATTTATAACCACTAGGCAAAGTTGAAATGTTCATTTACAATATGCAAAATTTTGAGTATAACAATCTCTCAAGTAATGCAAATAATTTCACACACTCTCTCGGTCTCACATATAAGAGTTATATGTTGAATTATTTTAAGGTGAATCTTCATATCTTAGGTGTGGGTGACATCATCTTATCCACTAGAGAAGGTAAGAATATGAGTATGCATATCATAAGCTCATAGACTATGAAAATTGAAAGACATTATTCATGAAGGTTAATGTAAAAAAGAAAAAGAGACAGGTCATAAAAAGAGTACATAAGAGTTTTCTAAATTTTTAAAGAACCTTATGATGTTAGGAGGTTACAATGAGTTGTGAAGTGTATGGCCACATCAAAAGTGAGGGAGGGGTAAGGGAATTGGTGTGCCTAATTTTAAAATTCCTTTTGGTTAAATTTTAATTTTAAAAAATATTTTTAAAATAAGAAAACATAAATTTTATAAGTATAAATTTCAAATCAAGATTAAATAATATCATCATCGATCATATTATTTATAGTGAATTGAAAGAGATCAAACAAAGTATGTAATAGCGGTATGAAAATAAAAAACAAAAGACAAGAATATGCAAATTGATTTTCATGTAATTTAAAACTAATGCTTACATCCACACATTGAGACTTTCACCTCAAAGATTCACTACACTCTCCTTTGGCCACCAACAGGTTAAAAGGCTCCTCTCTTTAACAAGTAATTCTAGAGAAACACAAAAATCTCAATCTTCTTTTAATCCAAGCAAGAAGATCACTACTCTAGTTTGGGATAATCTACAACTTCTTACAACAAGAAGCTTGGGATATATCCATTCTCTAATAAAATTTGATGAAGCAACAACTCTCCAAAATCAACAACAAAATAATAGAAGATTTTAGGTAAAAGAAAAGTGAAAGCAACAGGGATGCACATGCTCTCAAGGAATCTTTCTCATTTAGGATTTTTAAATGAAAAGCATGAAGTATTCTTTTTTTAATGTAATATTCTCCTAAAAATTTTCAATCTTCAATTCATTTTATAATTTTTATTAGGAAAGTATATATACAAAACACCTAGAATAATGCTCTAAAACTTGCTTAACAAGAAACTATGAGCAATTGTATAGTACAATCTAATCATCAAATAGTATGATTAGTTCACATAGAAAAATATAATAAAAAATAAACTTTATTTAATCATCTAGTATAATTAACATCATAGTATAAACTTTATTTAATCATCTAGATTACAATACTCTAACGAGTATTGTAACCTTAATTTGATAATCTATGTGTGGATTCTGTTGTCATCCAAAATAAAATCAAAATTATTCTTCTACATATAAACAATGTTGTCTAATGAATATAAAAATATAAAAAGGGGTGTTTTGCGATCAGAGTTGTTATTCCTTTTAACTTCCATTTCAACTACTCTCCTTGGCCTATTGGTTGAGAGCTTAGGCTTCCAACTAAGAGGTCTACGGTTCGAGTCTATGTGTATGCGTTGTGTGTGTGAGTTTGCCTTAAATGGCCTAAATGTCCCAAAAAAAAAACTTCCATTTCAAATTTGTCAGATGTGTAAGCTTGACCGAGGCTCTTGTGAGCGCCAATGCTGTATTGGATTGTCATATGATGACAGTCAGAATATTGAGCTAGCAATGATGCGACACTCACGCAGCTTGAATGGTCATTAGTAATATGTTTTACTGAAATTTAACAAAATGGTAAAACCCAATCGTTGCTTGATGGCTATAGTGACTCGTACAAAATATTTTCTAGGGAATGAAGTTTTTTTTTTTTGTCGTGATCTATAGTGAAATTTCCCTTCGTTTTTTTTTATATAAATTTGATTTGTGATGTATTGGGGAACAAGATAATTTATGATTAATTATAATGATCATAAGCCAAGGGAAAAAAAATGCCATGTGATTATTAGGATCATTTGAGACGACTAATGCTAAAATAGTAGATAATTTCATTGATAGTTTGCTAAACTCTTAGTAAGTCATGACGAGCGCTTGCCTAATTACTGGGTGAATCTAGAGAACTAACAAGGTATTCTGTTAGCCTAAGAAAGATTCGTAGCCTTAATACGGTGAGGGACACAAAAACACGCATATCTTGACAACGATTTTTGCTCATCAATTCAACCTGATCGAATGCAATGGAAATGATGGGCAATTGATTCGATTGAACATAATGAAAATGATAGCCAAAAAATGTGATGTTGCATAAGTCTAACTTTAAATGCATTGCAAATATCAGAAGTATTCAAACATAGCTCATTTTGTGAAATAAGTTGCGCCGATAATAAGCCATATAGTGATAAGCAAGCAGTCGGCACACTCACCATCATCACATTACCACTTTCTCTAAACACATCATTAGACTGTAGACTTCATCCAAGCCACTTCATGCTAATCGTTTGAGGATCCTCACCATCCATAAAGTTGGCTTCAATCACGACTCAAATTGATATGACCTAACTGGATCACATAGGTCATACCGTGCTTGACCATGGCTAGAAGCAGAGATTAATCCTAAGATTTAGTTGGAGAAATGTTGTGAAACTGAAACTTCCAGATCATGTATATGACAAAGCCACTACTTAATATAAATGCAAAGCAGAAGACTACAAAATCTCATTAATAATTTTTATATATTATAAATACAATTTGAAGTCTATCTATAACAATGCTTGACAATAGAAAGGTATAACAAAAATAAAAATCAAGCATGCTAAAAGAAAATTAACAAAAATTGCATACCTACAATAGATTAGAGCAAAATATTAGAAACTACTCAACTCGCTCCTTACCCTTTCTTAACTTGAAAATGAAAGCAAAGACAAGATTGTGCTAACACGGCCCGATAGACTATATGACAGCCTAAACATGATTCAATAATTTAAACAAAAAG